CAGTTTGAGATCGAGCTTTGTGTGGGTCAGATAAATACCCAGCATCAGCATAACCAACAAGATCAGGACTGCAATTGTTAGAATAATATAAACTCATATCGGTAGTCCCTTTAGATACAGCAATATGTGTTTGTCCCATTCCAATGTCTCCTAGTAGGAGAAGACTATATCTTTAGGACTAAAAATTTCTTCGTTCTTTTAAATCCTTCAAGGATTTTCATATATCCTTCAGTATCTCTAGACATGAAAATAATTTCATTATGCTCATATCAAGTTTTTCATATATTGCCAAACTTATGAGGAACCTCAACATAATTGCATCCACCACAAGAGGACCTCTCCATATAATAATGTCAAAATTTACGAAAAATCTTTATTCCACAAGAATTCATTTATATCCACTGGCATTATACTTGAATTGCGTATTTTTAATTGGCCAATCATTTATCTGTCCATACCTTTCTGACATATTTGAATTCAAGATCCTCATCAATATTTATAATATTGAGCGTTACTATCGTCGAAGATCATTTTGATATCAGTTTCAATGCGACATAAGTTATTGAGATCTCTTCATTTTTCGTCATTTTCAGGTACCTGAACATTTGTCAAGGTTTTATGAAGTGTTATGTCGTGGTGCTTTATTAAAGCACTTGCCTCATCATTATGACCATCTTAATCATTTGCTCATCTCCTTCTTCAAGGAGTTTCTTCAAGGAGTTCTATATTTGGAACCGCTTGGTCTAACACGCTTCAAACGTCTTATAGACCCCGTCCTTCAAGGATCTTTCATTAGAGCATTTATGAACCGAATTATAAAATAGAGTTTGCAAATATATTCCATAAATTGATTTGCAATATTTTACAAGTGAATTATCTGCTGAACTTTTAAGTTCACTTTTTTTTCCCAAGGATCTAATTCATCCCACACTCAATTTCGCTGCTAATCACTTCTCCCTAATGTTAGAAAATCAACATTTACCCCAAAACTCATTTTAGGGACTCATCCTATGGCGTTGTGGTGGAGCAATTGAATCATATATCGCACATTCAAATTTTTAGATGAAATTATTTGGTTCCTGACCTAAACCAATTGTGATAGGGAAACCTTGCTGGTTTGATGCATTCGCTGCAAGTGCTTAAATAAACATATCTCATGCCAAATTTTATTTGGGAGTTTTATTCATAACCAATGATTTAGCTATACTGAGGCATACAATTTTTGCTAAACCAACATAGATATGAATCAGCATTATCAACATGATTTTATAATTTTAAACTATGCTCTTAATTTAATAATTCGAGCAACAACCTTACAAAAATCAATGACAAATTGATATCAAAATACATGTGACTACACTTCCATAGGTGCATCTATTAGCAAACGGTTCATGGTAGGTGAATGGACTCATATTCACCTCTTTTTATAAGTTTCAAAATTCCAGTGAATATAATTCCAAATCTTAGTCATCAAGATCATCCTATCACGAGAACAAGCAACACAAGAGAATTCTCAAGAATCTTTATTTCTTCAACATTAGCCACGTGAATTCCTCAATTATTTTTAAGGCCACATTTGAACCGGGATGGCCAATCAGTTATGCCAACTTATTTCAGTAAACTTCTAGTTTATATTCGTATGTGATTTCATCATCATACCATATTTATATACTATGTCGATAAAATCTACGGTAATCTCTACATAACTATTTATAACCCGCTTCAATTGTAGTAACATGAAGATATTAGATCTTCCAATAATTTATAGTCTTAATTTTTTTCAATGTCCTTGAAACTTATAAGTTTCCTTGACTTACTAAGGTCAATTTCATTCCTTCATGTAGTAATACATTAGCTCTTTCCGAGCTCTCAATTAATTTTGTGTACTACCACATATTCAATCATATCAACATCAGGCTAATAGTTTCTCATAGTTTCAACTTTGAAATAATTTTGAATGTTGATGAGTTATACTCATGAACAGACTTATAGTCTTGAAACCTCATATGCATCCAACCATATCGTGCCTTTGGATGGATGACCATCTTCAGGTGGTCATATATTTATAACATTAATTTTATTTTAACTTTAAAATAACAAATATTTTTAGTAAGAAGGACACATATTTTGAGTCTGAGATAATAACATGAAATAATTAAAATTGATGGCCACGCTCATGTGATCTATAATTAGAAGGAAAAAATACTACAACACAGAAATTGAAATAGCAAAAGATTAATAATTTATACTATATTAAAAACACAAAGTCCTTTAAAAATGTTGATTAAAATAAGAAAAGAACTAAAAAAAATAAAAAAAATAAAAAAAATAAAAAAAATAAAAAAAATAATTATCATTTAATTATTATCTTAATATTTATAGGATTTCGAAATTAATTAAAATTGTAGCTTATTAAATCTTGCTTATTTGTAAAAAGTAAGTAACCTCAAATTTAGCATTTTAAAATTGACTAAAAATTTTACTTTTTAAATTCTTCCTTATTTGAACTACATTAAAAGTCCTAACATTTAAGACTTTAAAATCAGTTACAATTTCTCAAGTAACTTATATTAATTTTATTTATTAAACTAACTAATTATCCATCACAACTTTTCAACTCACAATACGAGAAAATAAATTAAAGATTGTAATTTTATTATGCATTAATACATTGAACTATTACTACTTCTTCCTCATACCTTCTCTTCTTCTTCCTCTCCTCCCGCCCTCTTCTTCTTCTTTTTCAAAAGTTGTATCTCATATATACGCGTGTGTGTAAACACAACATACTTTAAGTTATTTCAATTAATCAAGTACTCTTATTATTTAATCTCTTTAGTTAAATTACATTATTTTTTTTCCATTTTAATTTATGTGAAAGCGTTTGACTAGACACATAAATTAAGAGAGAAAGATCGAGAGAGAGAGATTGGAGCAATAAATCATCTTATAAACTAGAAATAAAAAGTTTAAAATTAAGTTATTACTAAATATTTGAAGTGCGAAGTCTCATAGCAAAAATTTACATTTTACCCTTTAAATATAGGATTCATGACTCACTCAAATAATTACTTAATTATTTTTTTTAATATTTAACATTTTGTACCAACTCAAATTTTATGCATTAAATCCTTCCTGTTGAAAATATAAAAAAGAGATTAAAATTTCATCTTTTAAGAAATAATTACACTTTGAATAAAATTACACTTATAATATAAATCACTATGTTAGAATTTTGTATAATTGAAAAAAAGACAGCCTGCGTACAAAACATCCTGGAATGCTAAATAAGGTTCAAAGAAGAATCACACACCAAGTAATGTGATATAGACAAATTACTCTAATGTAAGTATTAATGATTGTTTCATTAATTTTGATGAGTCTTCTTGGTTTGGATTCTTATCAATTACAAATAAGCCAAATGTATTTGTGATATGATATCAATTCATTATGAGTAAAAAAGAAACAAGCCGCAGTAACCGATAACATGATTTCTGTAAGTGTTAATTATTTAAACTAATAACTTACACTATATGTTCTATCTACTATACAACCTTGTATTACAATACATCTTCGTAATGATAATATTTTATATTAAATGTTAATCAAGTAATAATGTAGATACAAATTTTATAATAATTAACATAAAATATACATATAACGCATCCATGTAAGTGCTCGTGTAAAAGCGAACATTTTTTTAACATTCAACCAAACGCTATTTGACGTTTTTGTTCATGGAAACAAGTATTAGAACAAAGTTGAAGAAAGAATCACCTGATTCAATCAAATTCTTGAATATAATTATTTATCAATTTGAAATTAATAATTTCTTTCTAAATTTTTATTCTTATTAATATGAGAGACACGCGCAAGACGCTATGTATAGCTCATTTGCTTGCACTTAATGGAGGTTTGAATCTGAATGGTCTGCACTTCTGCACTTAATCGCATTTGTTTTTATTGAGATTTAAACACTTATTTCATCCAAACATGTCTTAATCATTAAGATCTAAAATCGAGTTTTAATATAACTAAGATGTATGTTTGTGCAGGGAATAATTTTCACCATCACTTTATGCGCAACCACCAGTCACCACCATTAATCGCTTATATCATCACAACCACCACTACCATTACCATCGCCAACCACTAGAATCCACCAGCCACACCTACTACCTCTCGTCAAACATTGTTAACCATTATCATTATCACCAACCGCCCCTGACATCACAAAGTTCATGAGAACTACTGACAACCCTACCAATGTTGTACTATCACGTTATTACTACACATATCACCTCCATTGTTATAGTTATATTCACTGCTACTACCACCACCACCATCATTGCCGCCGCCACCTCTACCACCACAATCACTTACTACCACCACCCTACTATGAATCACCTTTGTCATCACAACTAACAACGCCGCCAGTTACTCAAGCACACATCGTAGACCACTACATATTTTTTAGTCACCACTATCAACATTGTCGATTCTTAATATAAACCAACTTTACCATCACAACTCCTATTACCAAACCGCCACCATCACGCCAGCCCACCTCGAAATTAGCAATAATAAAAGGTCGAATACTATGATAAGCGGTTAAAAAGTGATACCATCATTACCAACGATCACTATTGCGCCAGCCATCCCTGAGACTAGCAATAATAAAAGGTCGACGACTATGATTAGCGGTTTAAAAATGACAGCTGTGGGATTTGAACTCACGCCTTTCGGACTGCAGCCTAAATCCGGCGCCTAGACCACTCGGCCAAACTGTCATATGGTTAGTTTTTAACATAATTGAGGTATTCTACTGTCTTCAAGTATAATTACCGCTAAAGATAAAATGAGAAAAAAATAGTTAATTTTATTTTAAACTTCTAAAATAATAAATATTTTTAGTAAGAAGGACAAATATTTTGAGACTTCGAGAAATAACATTGAAATAATTAAATTGATAGCTAATGCCTATGCATCTATAATTAGAAGGAAAAATAATTCCAAATACGTAAATTGAAATGAAAGAAAAGATTAATAATCTATACTATATTAAAAACACAAAGTCCTTTAAAAATGTTGATTAAAATAAGAAAAGAACTAAAAAAAATAAAAAAAATAAAAAAAATAAAAAAAATAAAAAAAATAATTATCATTTAATTATTATCTTAATATTTAGGACTTCTAAATTAATTAAAATTATAACTTTTAAATTCAATAATATTAAATTTTACAAAAAATCAGGTAGAGTTTTTTCTGTTTTTAAATTTTTTAATATTTGAAATTTTATAACTTAATATTCTTTTTTCTGTTTTTATATTTTTAAAATTTGTAACATTTAAGACTTTAAAATCGTATACAATTTATGTTAACTTATATTAACTTTATTTATTAAACTAACTAATTATCCATCACAACTTTTCAACTCACAATACTAGAAAATAAATTAAAGATTGCAACTACTACCGTCATCATTACTACACATATCACCTCCATCATTATAATTATATTCACTAATTTCTACCACCACCGCCTCGCCATCACTACCGCTACCCTACCGCCTGCTACGATCACTTACGTCACCAATTCTACTATGAATCACCTTTTGTCATCACAACTAACAACGCCGCCAGTTGCTACTAACACATCGTAGACCACTACATATTTTTTAGTCACCACCATCAACATTGTCGCATTCTAATATAACCAACCGTCACCGTCACGCCAACACCTCTCCTGAGACTAGCAATAATAAAAGGTCAATGACTATGATAGCGGTTAAAAAGGTGATACCATTATGAATGATCACTATTGTGCTCTAGCAATAAAAATGACAGCTGTGGGATTTGAACCCACGCCCTTTCGGACCAGAGCCTAAATCTGGCGCCTTAGACCACTCGGCCAAACTGTCATATGGTTAGTTTGTTGCTATAATGTTATATATTTTTATCTTATATAATTTCATATCATAATTAAAACAAAAATGAAGTTATTTAATTATATATACAAATAAGATAATTTATTAATAATTAATTAATTAAATTGTAATTCAAAATTATTACTCACTTTCTCTATAAACATAATTACACAATGCACCAAAACAATAGTGTAGTAAGATAATATATGTTCCGTTTTCTTTTTTAAATTCTGGTTCTAATATTTAATTTAAATTAAATCATATATTTTCATGTTATCTTTTTTAAGTATACAATAATTTCAATTTTAAGTAAAATTTTTATGAAATATTAGCTTTATTAAGACGAATATATATAAATATATTTTATGTGGTTAATTTAATTACCTAAAAATTATTTTTTTACAAGTCATTCAAAATATTGAGTTGAGATTTAGAATTTGTAAGTCAAATAACAAAATTTTTAAAAAAAGTCAAATAACTTTTCAATTTTATATTTTAGTTAATGACACTAATTAACTTATAATCAATTGTTATCAAAATATAATAGTGGTTAAGCCATTTACATCTAAGAAATAGCATTGTGCATATGTTTTCCCAGACAATGCTTCACTGTCACCAAAGCTGTACTACTAGTTGGACCTCACATGGGGCATCATTTGCCTATGAAATGATTCATTATTATACATTTGCTACTATTCGAGCAGCGGAATCAAGATTTTCATTAAAAAACGATTCTTAAAATATAAAAAAATTTTTTATTTTTTTACATTATATATATAATGTCAAATATTATATATATAAGTATCTTTTTTTTATCTATATGCATAGTCTATATAATTTCGTAAATTATTCCGATAAAGGATGTTTAATCGGTTACTCACTTACTTTCTACTTTATGTTGCTATGCTACTAACTCACACTCAATGTTTACATCGAGACACATTAATTATCATGATTAAATATTTTAAAAATATTTTTAAAATTGAAGTTTTTAAGTTTTTAAATTTCTGAATTTTAAATTTCTTGCTTTTTTTAATTTCATATTTTTAATTTAGTTGTCATAATTTTCTTTTTAGTCCATCCTAAAAGAATATAATCTTCTATATAATTAGAAATAATTTAACTTTGAAATCGGCGCATCTAATATATGAGGTTTATTTTAGACCATAAAATTTTAAAAATCTTCTTTTGTTCTTAAACTTTCAGGTCATGTCAAACAACGATAACCATGGTTTCTTGGTCACAACCAGCTGCGACTAAAGTTTCATTAAAGAGCATTTCCACATGGTAGAACCTCCTCAGGAAATATAAGGTTTTCATCAGGCTGATCTTGAGCCGCCATTCAAGCGCTAAATCGAGACGAAGGAATAATATATTCATTTAAATTTAATAATCTTAGCTCAAAATTCTATTTATATATTAAAAAGTTCATTAAATTAATATAATAATAAATTTCAACCTAATATATTACGATATAATTTTGAACTTAAACTCATAAAATTTAAATTTTAAATCGACGGAAACACACGTTGACATAGACTAATGGAGGCAAGGGCATGTCGGTCATCTTTATTTCCAGCAAACAGCACCTCTCAGCTCGACTTCCCAGAAAATTATAATATTCTGTTTTTAATAAATTAAAAGATTAAAAAATTAAAGTAAATTTGTTCTTGCAATCATAGAGATCCAAAGCAGTAAAGTCAAATGATTAATATAAAAATTCCCCACTTAGTTTACTGGCTTCATTACTTCACCCTTGTTTTCCTTTTCCTTTTTTTTTTTAAAAATGTTAATAATATTAAAATTTGTCTTCGTTGAACTCTTTTGTATTTTTAAGAATTATGAAATTTCATAGCGTTAGACTCCAATTAATTTGAGACTAATAATTGCCTGAGCCAGTTTTCTAAAAGTTAAAAATGCTTATTTTAGAATGCTGAAATGTTCCGATAAAAATTTTAGAGAAAATAAAATGCTTTTGGAGTATTAGTAAAAATTGTTTTTCTGAAATTAAAAAAAGTATTTTTTTTCTCAAAACACTTTTTGAATATTGATCGAATACAAAATATTGCTCCAAATAGTAGCAAAAGTGATTTTCAAAACTGATTAATTAAATACAATATGTTACTCTTTCAAAATTACTTTTAAGAAAACATTTTTTAAAATAAGTAGATTTTGAAAGTTTTGTCAGAACAAACGGTTTTGTTACCACCACTAAAGGTTGCAGGCGGGGGCAAGTACTCCTCCGTTCTTTTTAACTAAAAGTCTCAAATTCGATCTCCCGAGGACGAAGTTTGTTATTTCAAAATGAGATATTTTATGTGTGGAGTAACGGTAAACTTGTCTCTACGTAACTTATGTGTCACGATTGGAACCGTGAAAACAAATATTACTGCTCAGACATGTAGTTCGCCTATTTCACACCTCTTGAAATGTGACCCCTTATCAAAACCTATTAGCACGAAATACTTTACTCATCAAAATACCTTCTTCTTTTTTTATTACTCTAACGCAACCGCGGATTAATCGAAGTCTCGAAGGAGTACCTGATATCGCGTAAATAAAAGAAACCAATCAGTGTATTCTAGAGGACCAATCACAATTGAAAGGAGCAAAATCCAGTTGTCAAATCCAACAAGTTTCTATTATTATAAGACAAATCAAATGGAGTCATGTTCCCATGCAGACATCTTTTAAGACCCCACTGACATTTTTCTGCAACCAAAATTCAGTGAAGTCCATGGGCACATGGACATTTCCACCTCCCTCATCTTTCTGTCAATTGCTTTCTCCAACTTGTCGGTCATTTGGCCTATCCTTGATTGTGGAGACAATCCCTAAATTACCCTTCTAAAAAAATTTAAACATTATTTTGGGTCTCTTTGATAATGTATTGGTTAACTTTTGTAATTGGTAAAAACTATGTGCAACACTAATTTTGTTAATACTTTTAAAAAATTTTAATGACGGGGTTCAAATTCGAAATCGCTAATTAAAGTTAGAGCATGAATTGAAGGGGAGATGTCAATGCCTCGACTTTGATATGTTTGTGGAATACTGTGTTTTCTTGATTGTGACGCCTTCGGCCTTTTCAAATCAATTGAAGTTTTTCTAGAGGCCAAATTATAATATTAAGTCTAGTATGAAGTTACACGACACGAGAGACGTAATGACCTCAATACTAGTTAACTATAGAAAGTTATACATTTTTGGGCATAAGATTATTTGGTGAATTGAGATTGTTATTAGTTGTTGTGGTCAGTCTTAAATGCTCAAAGATATATCAAAGCCGATTAATCTAAAATCAAACTTACAAAACTCAATTCATCCAAGCTTATTCGTAATGAATTTGGATTACAATTTCAAATTACAATCCAATAACTGAAATTTCAAATAAAAATTTTCATATCCAATTCGATCGTAAAAAACCCTATAGCATTACTTTTTGTGGACAAACTTTAATGTCTTCTATTAACTTTATTTATTGCTTTAAAAGGGTCCTCCTATTAAAAGGATAGAATATTTATCTTTATATACTAAGATAGTAAAGGTTAAAGAAGTATAAACACTAGAAACAAACCAAAAGCAACAAACATGGGAAAATTTCCCCTTTCCATTTTTACCTCTGACATGACCAAAACTAGTGATTAATGTGCTGTACATGTACATTTTTTAAATTTGTATATTTATTTTATTTATATTCTTCTCCAAAGAATTAAACCCTATTTAAGAAGCTTCACTTCTCAAATCTCTTCTTGTGAAGTTTTCTCCATTCCCCCCCCCAAAAAAAAAAAAGAATGGAGAAATTAATGGCTCATTTTCTTGTACTTAGTGCAGTAATTGTTGTACTTTTTTCATCAACACAAG